TGGCTCACCACCCTCACACCAAACAATTTCTTCCTCACATCTCATCTCCATCTCCCTTCTTCCAGTTTCAAGCCATCACCCCTTGTTCTGTCACTCCCTGCCCTTGGACAAAGTCCCTCCCCACCTTCCTGGAACCCCTTCAGGTACTGGGAGGCCACTGGAAGGTCTCCCTGGAGCCTTCTCTTCTCTAGGCTGAACAGCCCCAACTCTCTCAGCCTGTTCTCACAGCAGAGGTGCTCCAGCCCACGCATCATTCTCGTGGCCTCCTCTGGACTGACTCCAGAAGGTCCATGTCCTTCTGCTGCTGGTGGCCCCAGAGCTGGAGGCAGCACTGCAGGTGGGGTCTCAGGAGAGTGGAGCAGAGGGGCAGAATCTTTTACTTTTCTAACACAGGCTGTTGGTGAGTCATACACTATCTTCCAGGGCCTACAAAAGATGACTGAGAAAGGCATAGCTACTGGGAATAAATTTAAATTTGCCACACTGTGGTCTGGCTCTCCATTTGAAAACCTTTAAGTGTCCATTCTGCAAAAAGATGAAATCATCTAACCTACTTAGTAAATGAGCTCTGTTTAAGAAGAACAGGATGGAAGAAGTAACAGCTGAATAGAAAAAAACAGTGACCTAGAACCCAGCATGCTTCTGAAGGGGAAGGTAATATGTCAGCTGACTCCACCTCCTTTGAAATGCTACAGGGTTTTTTGTCAGATCTGGGAACTATATCACAGTATATAAAGACTTAAGTGACCTGCTCTTTGAAGCAGAAAGGATGAAGGAGGGGAGAAAGCTTTATGTAAGATTTGAAGAATTCTCCCCTTTGAGGCACTAGGAGAGAAATCTTTGGTGAGTTAGGGGCCAGGATTAGCTGATCAGACCCTAAAGCAGGACTATTTCAAGCAATGGCTCCAGCAAGACAAACCAATTTTGAATGGGCTTTGACAACGTGTGGGGCATGAGCAAATAATAAAGGTGCAAGGACAATCTGAGACTGAGAACTATGAGCTCTCTTGCCAATCCATACACATCCATACACACATCCAAGGTGGGAGATAATCTCATCAGAGGTTGTGTAACTCTGCCCATAGGTTTCAAGGCAGGGACTGTAGGGGATCTGGTCCCAAGATGTTCTCTTCTACTTTACAGTTTTAAGATCTGTTCTGAGGTTTTTAAGAACATTGCCAATGATGTTTTGCTGCCAGCAGAAGCAGAGCTGAGGTGTTCACAGTCTGCAGGAGGGGAAACAGGGCCCTGTGAGAGCAGAGGTGCATGATTCAGTACTGCTTTATGGACATGGTTAAAGGACTTGATAACAAGACTCAGAGGATGCTCAGTGAGGCCACAAGAGGTCAAAAGTGTGTGTAAATTAGGAATCATGGCAACTTACAGGTGAGAAAACAAGACTGTGGGAACACAGCTTCCCTGGGAACAGCCATTATTTAAACTCTCTTCTTAATTCAGCTTGCAGAGAGACAAGGACAGCTGAAAACAGCACTGCTGAGCTCTTGATGGGACTCTGCCTGCATTATGATGTTAGAATTTAGCCTTGTAGTGTCAAGCATTTAGAATATATTTCTGCTGCCATTCCTGCCAAATCCAGTTCTGCAAGTTGTTGCTGTGGGAACCATGATACCTTGTGTAAGGCATACTGGGAACAAGAAGGTTAACCTCATCAAATTTTAGAATGACTCTAAAAAATGACCAGCCTCCTTTCATTTGAGGACCAAAGATCCCAAGAGAAATGCTAACACCATGATGATTACCATGCACAATCATGCTTTACATGGAGGTCAACTTTTTTGTAGTTTCTGCCACCACACTGAGGTCCCACAGTAGCTGACTGGACCCATCTTTGTACAGGGACCATTGGATTTAGGTCCTAACGTTGCGAACTTAGGGTTATATTTCTATATTTTCTACATTATATAGAAATAATTGGTATCAGCAAAGTCGAATGTTACATACCACTAAGCTGGAAAGAAAAGGAGTAACAGAAAGCCTCCTTTTGCTGTAACTTTCATAGTTTGTTGCTGCTGTTCCTTCTATGTCACACACAAAAGTGGTTTCACCCCCAGCTGACCTTCACAGAAAGGTACTGCTGTCCTCAGCTTCATAGCTGAGTAAAACTCAATTTCTTCCTCCGTACATGATGTCAGAACTGGTGTTTACTGGGGCAGTGCATTCACCAGTGAAAAGGGATCAAAATAAAGCAGCTTCAGTTCAAGTTGAAACCTAAGAGTTTCAAGCAGGACAAAGTGGAGGCAGAAAGTTGAAAAATAAAGTTCTGCCATGTCCTCTCTCCCCTGAGAGGAGGGATGGCTGCACTGGTCCAGATGCAATGTCATCACATTCTGAGTAAACAAGAGTCAAGTCCACTGGTATCAACAAGCCACAATTTTAGGCTTTTGCATCTTCATGTCCAGTTCTGGGGCCACCAACACAAGAAAGACATGGACCTGTTAGAATGAGTCCAGAGGAGGCCACAAGGATGATGCAAGGACTGGAGCACCTATGCTGTGAGGACAGGCTGAGAGTGTTGAGGCTGTTCAGCCTGGAGAAGAGAAGGCTCCAGGGACAATTCTAGTGGCCTTCCAGTACCTGAAGGGGTTCCAGGAAGGTGGGGAGGGACTTTGTCCAAGGGCAGGGAGTGACAGAACAAGGGGTGATGGCTTAAAACTGGAAGAGGGGAGATTGAGATGAGATGTGAGGAAGAAATTGTTTGGTGTGAGGGTGGTGAGCCAGTGTCCCAGGTTGCCCAGAGAAGCTGTGGCTGCTCCTCCCTGGAAGTGTTCTCGGCCAGGTTGGATGAGGCTTTGAGCAACCTGGTCTAGTGGAAGGTGTCCCTGCTGATGGCAGGGATGCTGGAACTGGATGATCTTTCAGGTCCCTTCCAACCCAAACCGTTCTATGATTTTATGATTCTGGTTCATCTCTTGATGGAGGGTTAAAAATGAGGGCAGGATCAGACCCAATACATTTGTCCTGGCCAGAAGCAGAAACCAAGCCTTCAGCATTTTGTTCAAGCTACCCAGTAAAATCCTTCAGCGCAGCCTATTCCAAATGCGTGACACTCTCTGCAGAAATGAGACCGGGCATGACTCCAGGAGCCCCGAGGCGGATACTCTCTCCGATTTACCGAGGCACTGCATCACCTCCTAGACTGAACCGTGTTGTTGCCAGTTTTTACAGATTCACTGAGATGCGTCAAAGCTCGCCCAGCAGAGACACTGAACTGCACAGCCTCTCACCGAGAGATTCACTGTCCCTTCAGTGTATCAGGGGGACAGGCAGGGTACACACGCAGACGCTCACACACGCGCCCGCGCGCATGCACAGCCTGAGCGAGGAAAGTCCAGCCCCCAACAGCAGGACCATCCTTCTGCTGATGGATTTTTCCAGCCGGAGCATCTTGCCGGCTCTGCTGTAATTTATGGAAATGGGTTTCTGACGTGGGGTTTTTCTGTTACGACAGGGACTCACCAGCTAGAGGAGGCAGAGCTGCAGTCAGAGCAGGAGGAGAGAAGGAGAGGAAGAGGTAGGGAGCAGAGGGACGCAAGGGAGTGGAGAAGACAGAGAAAAAAAGCACAGAAACACTTCAGAGATGGGTGAGTTATAACTAAGAGAGCAGGAAGAAAGGCAGAGAAAGGGAAAGAAGGAGAGCTGTGGGGAAGGGAAAGGAGCTCGGAGACTGAATCAGCCTCAGGGGGGCAAACACCAGGAGACGAGTGGAGGGAACACCCCAGCATACCAAGAAGGACCTCTACTGTCTGAATCTTCACCATGAGCACAGGAAAGAGCTGCCCCCTGCCACTGGGGCAAGGAGACCAGGAGGAAAAGCAGAGTGAGGGTACTCCTGACCTGGAGCGACAGGAGTGTGAGGTGGAGCTGAGGAACAAAGCTATTCTGCAACAGAAGAGACGCCTTAAACAGGCCACCCAGTTTGTGCACAAGGACTCTGCTGACCTGCTGCCCCTGGACGGCTTGACAAGGCTTGGCACCTCTAAGGATCTGGTGAGTCCAGTGGGACCCCATTTGGGAGGGGGTCCTCCTAGTAGCCTTCATCCCAGTTGAGAACTGCTGCCAGGCTTTCTGAACGGGTCATGGGTTCAGCAAAGATGGAACTTCCCCTCAGCATCATTTAGGAGCAGGTCAGGGTGAGGGGGAAGAATGTGTTGCCCATTTTTTGCATCCCATACATCCCCATAGAGACCGAACTCCTTGCAGAGGCAGGCAGACATGGACTGGAAGGACTCCCTGGGATCCAATTTTCCACTCACCTGGTACATTAATATGTTCATCTGATACGTATGTTTCTGTGTGGGACATCTCCGAAAGTCCCCATGTATTCCTGCATGATCCAGCTCAAAAGCAGCCTCCTTCTTGGACTCAGCAGGGAGGGAAGCAGAGTTTATGAAACTCCAAGAGGCTTATCTTTGACCTTGTCACCTTTTTGCATTATTCTCATTCCCCCTATTCTTTGGATTTCTGAAGGGACAGGCACAGGGCAGGACCGCTAGCCAGGCACACAGGCAGCTGCAGCAGCCAGCACCCGTGGATAACACGTTTGAGGAGGAGGCACAGGAGTGAGGCCTGTCAGCATCTCCTTGGAGAGACACGGAGCAGGAGGCTTCAGGAAGGGGATCTGTTCCAGCAGCCTGGGCAGTCTGTGGTCTGGAGGGACTTCCCTAAGGCAGGGAGAAATTTCCCATGGGATCTCTTGCTGGCTCAACTTCACACACCTCCCCTTGCTCTGGCAGTTTTGCTGTCTGACTTCTCCTCTCCGTTGTGCAGTTTAACTGCTCAAGGATACAGAGATCTACAGCAATTTCCCAAAAGAGATCCTGGGTCTGGCCAGTGACAAGGGCACAGCCACTTAATCCAATTCTGCCAGTGGGTGTCATAAAAGATCTTGCCCATCCCTGCAGCTCGTGCTTCCCCCTGTATCAGACCCTCAGACCATCTCAGCAACACCTCAGGTGTCCACGTGTGTGTATCATCTCCTCCAGCCATTTCCCAGCTCCCATGGCAGGCCCTATGGCTGCTGGCTGTGAGGTGCTGCTGCACACAGGGGCAGGGTGTGCGAGACAGGCAGGGTCCTGGGCAGGGGCCCAAGGAGAAGCCATCCCCCTTGCTGAAACCTTGGGGTGCAGACAAGGGGTCAGTGCCACCTGCCCATGCTGACACAGCCTCCTGCTCCTGCCATCCTCCCTGCTGCTGCCTTGGCTTCTGCTGAGTGTCCCTGTCTCGGCAGGGCCAAGGGTGGCTCCTCAAAGTCACCCTGGGCCGTTGCCTCCTGCCCTGCACGGCCATACACACGGCTTTTCAATTGGTTTCATTGAGTGTCCCTCTGGCCCTGAGCACACGAGAGGTCAGTCACGCCATGGTGGTGTTAGCGAGTGACACGGCCTCTCCTCCCCGCGGGGAAGGAGGTCTGGCCATATTGGAGCCTGGAGGGCCTGTTCAGGCTGGCAGCAAGGCAGGCCAGCACCAGCTCTTCACACCCTGCAGATGAAACCTCTCCTCAGGAGGGGACAGCCAGCCATACCCCTGGGCTCTTCCTTGTACAGCTTTTGGCAGGGAATGGGGAGGAGGAGCCACTTTTGAGTCTTCTAGAGCATGTTTGCTGAGCCCAACCACAAAGGCAGAGAGAAACGTGTCTACCTGCTTTGCTTCAGAAGTGACTCCTGTCACACCATGCTCCAAAAGGACAACGGCGGTGCCAGCCAGAGGCACCATCAGAGTCTAATGGGTTCAGCAAATGGAAATTTCTAATGGCAATTAGTGTTAGAAGGCACAAAATAAAGTGTGGCACCTCTGCGAAGTCCACACACATAGTGCCATACCTGAGGTCAATGCGGTAGCTGTGGTACTTCTGTTTCAGGTTTAGCTTGGAGGAGGAGAAGAACCAAGCCTTAGGTTTCCAAGAGCAATTCAGCAGTCTCTGTGACTTGATGGGCCACTGTGTTATGGCTGTGATGTTTTGGAAGCTGCAAATTAGAGTCCAAAATATGCTTTCAGGCACTCCTCCAGCCCCATGCAAAACTCCATCTATGTTTCCTAAATGGATCTGTCTCCCTCCTGGAGGACAGGAATGCAGGGCTGAAAACAAAGCAGCAGCAGGAAATGGTGGAGCAATTGATCTTGGAGAGAGTGCAAAACACCCTGGAGTCCTACAGCATTTACACTGGGAGGAGAGTTTAATTAATTCCCCAAAACATGTCTCTACTGACAGTGCCAGAGGCTCCAGCTGTGGCAGCCCTGCATGGCCTAAAATTAGAGCAAGGCATTTAAAAAAACTACATGTTTTCTTACACAGTCAAAGTCAGGCTGTTACTTTTTGCCACTCTTTTCTGTGGGTTCTGGGTGTGTGTTCAGCTTATGCAATGCATCCAGCAGTGTCTGGGATTTGATGGGCCCGTCATATCTCCAACCATGAGTAATTATACATTTCAGTGGAGACCTCACATTTCCAGCTTTATAACAACTACAAGCATGACTTTTTTTTTTTATTAAATGAAAAAAAAAAAAAGTAGCTGCATGAGTTAAAATATTCTGGCAATACCAAGTACTTCTGAAGATCCGAAGATCGCAAAAATCAAGATCCCCAGCTCATACCACTGCACTAATCATAGCAATGCCTTGAGATTTCACATTGGAGAACTTGAACATGATGAGTTGCACTGGGAACCTGCTCTGACCCTCTAAAATCATAAGAGGGCTTCCCTTCCAGCTACTGGCCACAACTCCCTTCAGGTCCTCCCTCATCATCCTCTTAATCTCATTGTTTCTTAGCAGCCCAAGAGAGACAATGGTCTCCATTTCTCCATCTCACTGGAGAGACACAAGACAGGGGAGGCCCCAGGAGTCTGTTCTTGAATCACAGTCCTAAAGCTCAGCTACTCCCCATCAGTGCTTGAGTTCTTCCCAGCCTGAGTGACAAGAAGGGGACAGAGGTGGCAGCTGCAAAGGGCTTGCTCCTTCCGTGGGAAAGGTTGCAGGGAGGGGGAAAGGTCCTTTGCATGCCAGATTGTGAGAGGAGACAGGAGGGAGGATGGGAATTTGGAGACCTGCTGTTGGTTGCCTGCCCTTTCCCATGGTCCAGATGTGAGCTGGCAGCCAAACTGGCACTGTGCTCAGAGTATTTAGGGAGGGAAGTACAACAGCCAGCTGTGCAGTAGGCTGGGAAAACACTGGGAACAGAGGGATATTTTTACCACTACTGCAGAGTCTCTCATGCATCATGTGAAGGATCTGACTCTCATCTCTTGAGTGATGGGTAAGCAGATGCATGAGGGACTCAACACCTTGCAATGAGCAAAGCTGAGTGCAGCCAAAGAGCCAGTAACAGCTCTCCTGCTCCAACCATTGGCCAAAATGGACAAGCCAGTGTGCTTTGAGTTGTAGCTTACAGGCTTCCTCAGCCCTCTGACCTAGCGTGAAGCTGCTCTGAAGCACACACACCCTATAGGGTTCATACAGCCCAGGCCATTGGCAGGTCTGCTCCAATTCAGATGTTTGACCTGCACATTGATAAGACCCTACAACAAACTGCTGCACCATCTGGAAGTTGATTTTTTGTTGTTGTTGTTGTTGTTGGGTTTTTTTGTTTGTTTGTTTTTTTGAGAAAGATGAAAGCAATGGTTTATTCTGAAGCACACCAGCCTGTTTAGGTTCAGTGCCTTTCTTCACATGAGCAGTTGTTACTGAGAACACTACTGTCAGCTCTGAGCTGCTGCTCTGCTGGAGAAGGGCCATGGGGCTGAGTACATGGAGAAAGGACAAAGCTACCTCCAACAGGACTGCTTCATTGATGCTGCCTGTTGTTGACTCAGTAGCTGTGCAGGAACTGGAGGCACTGGATCAATACCGGGCAAAAATTAGACCATTGAGCTGATGACAAAGGGAGCTTTCATTCCAAATCAACAATTTCCTGTGTTGGGACAAGAAGTTTTTCACCATTTTTCTTCCCTTTTGGTGCACCTCCCTTTCTTCTGGGCAGAAGAAAGGGGATAGGAATGAGATAGGAATAGGAGATACATGAGGTATGAATGAGATACATGAGATAGATAGGAATAAAGTTTCTTCAGCCATTGATCTGGCTGATGGTGCTCCCTTCTATCTGTGAACAACATAGGGCTTCATAGATGTTTCCCCATCTAGGAAAGGAGTCAAAATAGTATTACTTCTGATGGAGGGTGAGTGGGTGAGTTGGTTTCAGGGCAAGCAGGCTCATGGGTTGAGATAAAAACAGTTTACTAATTGAAATAAAATAATAATGATAACAACAGTAATAACAGAATATGCAAATGAGCGATGCCCAGTGCCATTGTTCACCACCCACCAACTAACGACCAGCCTGTCCCAACCAGAGATCCTGGAGCACAGACAATCCCCAAACCAAAACCCTGGAATAGCGAGAGCCCAAGTGATCCCCGAGAGAATCCCCCCTATTTCCAGTCAGCCCTGGTTAATGTACTGACCATGATGGGATATGAGATGGAATATCTCATTGGCAGAGCCAAAGGCCAATTTGGGGTTTTGCTAATGACTATGCTTCTCCCTCCCAGTCCTTTGCACCTGCAAACTACCCAAACATGATGACCTTGGGCTCCAGCAGCAACTAACAACATTAGTACCTGATCAACATTCTTCTCATAACAAATCCCACACTGAACCCAACACACAGCTGTTCTGGCTACTGAGAAGAAAATTAACTCTATCCTAGTGAAATCAGGACAGAGGGGAGCAGAGACAGACTCCAAAGTACATTAGAAATCAGTTTTAGTTTCCTATGCAGGGGAAGTTTCCCTCTTCACCACAAATAATTGCTTGTACACCTAAAACTTCTGGAGTCCTGCCTTGTTACCCACATGTACATCATACACATGCTGCATCCCCATACCCTCCCATATTAGAAGGTGTGAGTGTGCCTGGTTGGTGGTCAGCACACACCTACCAGGTTGTGTATCTCAGTACCTGAACAGATATGAGACTACTGAGTGCAGGTTTAGCTGAAGGAACATGCGGGGAGAGCATGCATCAGGTATGTTCTTCTCCTCCAACAATTGCACCCCAGAGGCTTGCCTGTCACAGACATCCCAACACTTTAACATCACCTTAGTGGCTACAGAAAAAAAATCTTGTGATGTAAATAAAGTTTTTTCGGATAATCCTGTCTTTCATCAGGATGATCAGTTGGGTCAAGCATTTGCAATCTGCTTCCCTGGGCTAGTGAATGTCCTTGTCCTTATCTCCATACTTAGCTGGGATTTCTCTTTCTTTGTGATGGAGACAGCAGCCCCATAGCGTGGTTCAGCGGCGCCTCTTGGAAGGCAATCTGAACAAGCTGCGGGGTGAGACCAGGGTTCAGTCTGCACGGGTTCAATCTCCGCTGGCCAAAGACCAAGATGAAAAGATGGAAAAGGAAGAGGAAAGGAGAAAAGAGACTTCACCTCTGCTAATACAGTGCCAGGTAAGGCAACAACACGGTACTGCTGATTTCACAGTGATGGCAAATGATCCGTGAGTTCCAGCTGCCCCACTCCCCAAGGGCCATGAGAAGTTATTAATTGCAAAGCCAGCTGCAGCCAGAAAGAGCAGATTTCCCGCATGGACTCCCTCTGAGTTTGGATTCAGTTCTTCCAACAGAGGAAAGCCTTTCTGCCACATGCATTCTAGTTGTCCATATTTGAGGAGAAATTACCTTAATCCCATCTCCTTCCTTTGGAGGCCAGCTTTCCCAGGATAGGAGGTGTTTCATAACTGCATACAGAAGCAAGGAACAAGGTCTCCTTATTATGTTAAGACAGTTGATTTACACTTACTGGATCCAGTCTGGTCTGATTCTTTCAGGTGTCAAAAGACTTCCTAAAAAAGTGGTTAACTGTGCTCTGAATTAGCGCTGTTGCATTTCTTGATGGAAGCAGTATTTTTAGCTCCCTTTTCTTCTAAAATCCTCCTATATAGCAGAACACGTTCCTGCCTGGCCCCTGTAGGTAAGAAAGGACCTCCAAAAGCTGTGTCCCATGAAAGAGGGCTGCATGGTTTGACCTATTCAGTCATTTGCAGATATGAGACTCACCAAGATATAGACCCAGCGTACAAAATCCATTTTAAAGCTGTGCTTATTTCTGTTATCTGTCCTAAAGAAAAACTCATATGTTAAGAGTTTAAAGTCTACACTTCCAAGAAAAACACATACACCTCTGAAAATTCAGTTGGCACAATTAATTAGATGAACACAGCCTGGTAGCAATTTTCTTAAATGTTGAGATCAAGTATCTCAGTACCACACAGTCACTGTCTAGTTTGTTTTCCAGCCTTTACTGTTGCAGTTAGGCACTGCTTACCCTGGGTTTTAGACTCTGCTGTAGCTAGGTTAACATAACCATACTTGGGAAAACAGACTAGTAGGATGAATGGCTCTCAGTGTCATTTCTCCAAATAGTTGGAGTCTTTCCTTTTTTTTTTTTTTTGAGCAAATGAAACTGTTTCTTTTTCTTTAATAGCCACTCTGTATTGTTCTCTAAGAGGAAATTCAGTGATAAAGGGTGATTTTTTGGCAAGAAAGTACATCGAACAAGGATAGGTATACACATGTATCATATCCCAGGGGCGGGAGCTAACTCTATGTCAGAGTTCACTACTTGTTTCCCTTTGTGTTTCTAAGGGACTGTACCCCAGCTGTCACACACATTATACTTCCCTTCATGAAGGAAGGTTAATGAAGGTCACAGTCAAGGAAATAGGTCTTTGACTCTCCTGGAACTCAGTACTTTCTGCACAGGCATTTCTCTCTTTCTCTGCCTTTCTTAAGAGCCAGTCACTGTTTGCCACACTTCTCACATTGAAGGAAGGGAAGCTCTCCCCTCCTTCTTCTTAATCTTACTGCTTTTCAGGTTCATATTTGTGAACCTCAAAAAGCCTTGCCTGTAACAGATCTACACCAGGAAACAATGCTCAGGCTGCCAGTTCATTTTAACCAGAGAGGTGAGTTGGTACCTTTTGGAGAACTGCTTGACTATGGTGTAACTTTTATTAGAAGTGGAACACCACCCCAGTGAAGTCTCTTCTTTCAGACAGCAGCTCCTGAGAAAAGATAATCTACCAGCATAAAGCTTCCATTTACACTGAGGCAAGGACACTGAACATTTCAAAAACAGTAACAAAGGCATCACCTAACGAGTAACTGACCCTGACTAGGAAATAACACTGAATATATGTAGACTTCAGTGATATGGGGAGATTCAGGCAGTAAGTGTTTTCACTCTAACAGGTCGTAGTTGCCCTGAGCTTTAGGCCCTTTTAAGTTTCAGAGATGACAGACGAAGCCAGTCTATAATAGTTCTATCGCAGAGTCACTCACTCTCCTATTTACTTAGATGAGTTGCTCACAATTTAGCAGAATTGGCCCCTTTTGTGGCAGTTTTTTGCAAAGCACTTTGGAAAGCTTGTCTTGGCTGGCATCTGCATTGTAAAATCAAGCTGTTATATTTTGTGGTGGGGCTTGTCTCTTGCTGACTTGGAAACAGATGCTGAAAGATTCCACTGCTGTCCAAGGCTGCTTCTCCTCTGTGCCAAAGCAACCTGGGATTAATCAACCTTGGTTGGTTAAACCATCTTCTTGATTTTGGAACTGACTTTATTTCAGAAAATAAAGCTCTTTATAGATGGTGATCCTTACTGATTCCCCTCCCCTCTTTCTTGGAAATCCCTATAATGGACCTTTAGATAAGGATTAACCATTACTGGTAGTAACAGACTGAAAATTCTGGGGTGGAGATGAGTGTGGGTAATGTGATGGAAAGTCCTCTTAGTCCAAGAAGGCTTGCAGTGCTCATCAGCTGCCTGTGTACTCCTTACCTAATCTTCATTGGTTTTGTGGTATGCTGGACTAAGGACTCTCCTCAGGCTCTTGGTAAGTTCTCTGGACAAATGGTTAGTGGTATTTTCAATTGAAAGATGGATAACTTTTCTGGAGCTGATAACTGTGAAGGGCTGTTTACTACTGAATGAGATGAAATGTTGTTTTCTACAGAATATTCACTGTCCTCCTATATCTTAACAAGTTTCTAACTTGCAACTTTCCTAGCCTGTTCTGAAATAAAAGGGCCACGGAAGTCATCCTTCCCCTGTACTGGGCACTGGTGAGGCTGCACCTCGAGTGCTGGGTTCAGTTCTGGACCCCTCACTCCAAGAAGGACATGGAGGTGCTGGAGCGTGTCCAGAGAAGGGCAACGGAGCTGAGGAAGGGTCTGGAGCACAAGTGTGCTGAGTTCCCGGCTGAGGGAACTGGGGGTGTTGAGCCTGGAGAAAAGGAGGCTGAGGGGAGACCTTGTGGCTCTGTCCAGCTCCCTGCAAGGAGGGTGTAGAGAGGTGGGTCTGTTCTCCCAAGTGATAGAATGAGAAAAAATGGCCTCAAGTTGTGCCAGGGGAGGTTCAGATTGCATATCAGGAAAAAATTCTTCAATTAAAGGGTTCTCAGGCACTGGAATGCGCTGCCAGGGGAGGTGGTTGAGTCCCCATCCCTGGAGGTATATAAAAGATGGTAGATGAGGTTCTCAGAGATGTGGTTTAGTAGTGGACAGGTATGGTTGGACTCGGTGACCTTAAAGGTCTTCTCCAACCAAACAATTCTATGATTCTATGCAAACTCAGGAATCTGCCTAGTTTGGGTTTAATATCACAGTAACGCTAACAGCTTGTGCATCCCGGGTCTGCCCGCTCCCTAGTGACTCCTTAGCAATTGCTAGCCAGGTCTTCTGTTTCTGAAGAGCATTTTCTGTAGCTGGGCAATGAACAGTTGGCTTCTGTGAGCCACAGGGATGGTTAACTCATTCCCAGCTGAATCCATGTCTGTTAATGAGGAGGATTTGATTCAGCTGGACACTGTTGGCAGGTAGCAGTCTGGGCAGATGTAGAAGCACACCTGACCCGATGCGCATGGTTAATATACCTGCTCAGGTAGTAAGGAGGCACAAGGAAGCTTCTATGAAGCACAGCACAGAGGATGAGGAGGCAGATACTTAGCATATGTCTGCACTTTGTGCTTTATCTTGCTTCTCTGCTTAGTCTGATCACAGTCTTTCCAGGTAGGGCTGATGTGTCAGAGAGGACCAGGCAGCACAGACATTACAGAGGTCTAAAAGCAGAAGGGGATGGAATTTGTCACAAAATCATAGAATCATAGAAAGGTTTGGAAGTGACCTCTGAGATCATCTAGTTCCAAACCCCCCTGCCATAAGCAGGGGTAAAGGACTATCCTCTGGGTCCATTCCATTTCCAGGCTCTTTCTCTCTAGAAGCCTGGACTTTGTAATACCAGCTTTTGCCACAAACAGCTGTTGTCGTGAGGTAAGGCAGGATGTCTCCAGTTGGCCTTGGGGACTTTGATGAGCAGGCACTACTCCTAATCCTGAATGTTTAAACTTGATGTGCCAGGCAGCCTAGAGTCACAGCTGCAATGTTTTTTCTTGAACAAGCAGAAGCATTGTCAAAGTCAGGAGCTTCTAAATAGAGTGATTTGCAGCTCTTCCCTTTCTGTGAGGCTCTAGCATGCTCTCCCACTTGCTTGAAGCAGGTTTATACCAAGAGGCAGAAGGCCAAGAGAATGGGTGGACACTCTGGGTCTGGGAACAGGCAGCAGTTCAGCTGGGTCTCCTACCAGTTCTTTCATGCATGATCTGTATTACCATGGGACAGCAGTTCAAGCTGGGGAGATCTTATAGCTGCCTTCCAGTGCCAGAAGGGGCTCCAGGAAGGGTGGGGAGGGACTTTGAATAAGGGCAGGGGGTGGCAGAACAAGGGGTGATGGCTTGAAACTGGAAGAGGGGAGACGGAGATGAGATGTGAGGAAGAAATTCTTTGGTGTGAGGGTGGTGAGACAGTGTCCCGGGTTGGGCAGAGAAGCTGTGGCTGCTCCTCCCTGGAAGTGTTGGCGGCCAGGTTGGATGAGGCTTTGAGCAACCTGGTCTAGTGGAAGGTGTCCCTGCTGATGGCAGGGGCGTTGGAACTGGATGATCTTTAAGGTCCCTTCCAACCCAAACCATTCTATGTTTCTGTGAAATGGGACTGCTCATTTGTGAAGGAGCTGGGAGAATATTCCTGTAGGAATGTGCAAAGAACTGCAGAGAGAGCTTCTGGTGGCTGGTTTCTCTGTGGTCTGACTCTGTTTCATGAATCTTCCAGCTGGTATCAGGCTGGTTAATTTTTCTGTTCTCCCAGCCTGTGACTTTTTAGTTCCGTGATGGTTTCCATACCATGTGCCAAAGAGCAGCCTTGGGTTGAACGTAGATGTCAATGTGGCTGAGACTGTGAGAAACACCTGGTATAACGGGGAAGGCATGGGGCTGTCAGCCAGAAGTTTGTGAGATCTGTTTTGGCTTTGGGTTTCCTAAAGTATTTAGCATTATATACCTCACCTGGGTGTTGTAAGAAGCCACAAGTGTTTGCAGTCACACAGGACTGTTAATTAACTGGATATAATTCTTTACAGATAAGATATGCTTGCTTTTTACATTAAAGAAGAGAAGCATCTGTGCATATTTTCTGTGTAGATACCACTTGAGCACTGCTCTCCTTGTTCCTGGATGAGGCTATACATGGTGAATGCTCATCCTTCTAAAACCACTGATGTTATTGAAATATAGATCATATATACATAAGTGAGTCTTACGTGATTCTTGGTGAAGTCTGTAAAACAATATAGGTTGAGATCTCTAGCTCCAGTGCTCTTGCAGTTCTTGAGAATTTCTCAACTAAGTGGTCATTCCAGGAACGCAGTGTATCTAAGTATTCATGATGATGAAAATCTTTACACTGATGTACTGCAGATGCAGTTTAGACCAGAGGAAGAGCTCCAAGACAAAGCAGACTTGAAGTTTCCAGCATGAGCAATTAGCACTCAAGCTACAATTTGTGTTGTGTCCGTTTGCAGCACTCCATTATTTCTCATAGGAGGTGGTTTCTCCTGTCTCTTTATAATAACTCACAAAGAGCACATTTTTGAAAATGGGATCTTGGAAATATGAAATGTAGCTTTTGGTGGTGATTAACCCATGTAATAATCATAAACAGATTTAGTTAAGAAATCAGGAGGTTGAGACATTCTCCTGGACCCTACTGGTGCTGCACTGAGTCCCTGATGGTCACGCTGATCTCCTTAAGGTGTTCAAAGCATTTAAGCGCGTCAGGGATGACCATAAGTTTAGAGAAGCTGTGGGAGGTCTGTTGCTGCCTCTGAGTGTCTCATGGCACTCAGTGCCATAGTGGATGGAAGAGAAGGAATCACAGGAAAAATACAAATGATAGCAGGAAGAAAATGAGCCTCCCAAGAGGGAAACTTTATGGCTGGGGTTTTTTTGGGTGTTGGTGCAAGTCAGAGCCTTGAAGAACTAGGCTGTCAAGAATGGGTATGGTTAGGCACTATAGGTAGATTCAAGCCATATTTTGTAGATGGCAGCTATTCATCTTTTCCAGTTCCTTTAGTAAGTCCTGCTCCTCCTTTTTTTTCCTAAATATAACCCTTATTGATGTCCTGATAACACTATTTTTTGCAGACGTCTACCATATATGAGACCTGTTGTTACTTCAGCACCTCTGGCCTGCCATTAAGGACCTATGTGCAGGGGGGGGACAGAAAACAGATGGCAACCACATCTGCTGTTCCCTTTCAAGTGCAAAGAGGTGAAGAAATGAAGTGGGCAAGGCACTGGGGATTATTCCAGTAAGATCATGCAGAGGTGACTTGGGTGCAGGGCATCCAGTCTCTCCCTTTGCTAAATGACACCAGCTGTGAATATTGTAGTTGTAGTGTTCGTGTCATATTTCCTTAAAGAGATGTCTAGGAACTTAATGTAAGCCCCACACAAAATAGACACTTCTTGATTAGGTTGTTTCTTGGATTCAGGAGTCACTTGGATGTGACTTGGGAACTGCCTTAAATCTAAGCTCTTCTCAGGGATGCTTGCTCTGGGTGCTCCTGCTTCTCCCACAGATGACTTCCTCTGGAAACTGTTCAACTGGGAACAGACACCTAGCCCTGGAACACTGTTCCCTGGGAGAGAGGGAGGCTGCAGCCTCCAACAAAGGCTGCAGCACATGCTTATATTCCTTTAGAAGCTTTTGTCATATCAATTATTGCTAATAAAGTCCACATGGGTTTTCTGAACAAACTCACTAGTGATGCATTTGTTGACTGGAGTATTGCCAAGTTAAAGTCACTAATAACAGAAAAATGTCGAGTCAATCAAATACAAATTAAGACAAATTCAAAAAGAAGCCTTTGACAGAGGTTTGCAGGGTTGCTAGGGAGACCACCACTGTCTTGGATGAATCTCCTGCCTTCCAACTACCCCCTAAAAACCCCACATCTTTGGCTGTGTGGCTAAGGAAGTCCTAAGGGATTGTCACACTGTTGGAGGAGCAGGTATGCAAATTCTGAGCCCACAGTAATCATCTGTTGTTGTTTTTTCTAGTGCCAAGGTCAGGTATTGAAAGCGACGGTTAACACTGGGTGTCTACCAAATCTCATCTCCAAGAGCTGTTTAAACCAGCTGGGGTAAGTCTTTGTGCAGTAGAAAAGGAGGGGTGGCTAAAAGCAAACCTGTGGCAACAACCTAGGTGCTCTTGATTCCCGGCCTCAATGATAATTACGAGCAGCTTTGCACGTGCACGTGGCTGTGTAGGAGAAGATGCAGAGGGTGGGCTACAGGGCAAGGCATCAGGAGCACCAGCAAAGTTGCGTGCAGCCCTCAGACTAGTAGGCAGAGCTGTGTCAGTCTGTTTGCGTGTACTGCAGGGCAAAGCTGCCCAGCTGATGGTCAGCCTCAGCAGTGAGGAACCCAAGTGGGACAGCGCCTTTTGGTTTTGCTTGTGGAATCTGCCTCCAGACATGCTGTACAAAAGAGATTCCTCCTCTTGTGGGCCTGTTCCAAATGAGACCAAGAAGTACTGCCATCAGTGAGAAGTCTTGTTTTTCCTCTTCTTCCTCCACTTGAGGTAATAACACCTCTTGTGTCCCACAGGCTGGAAGAAGTGTCTGCCATGGACTGTGGAGATCTCTCTCTTCCCATCCCCAGCGCTGTTGGTCGAGTAGAACATTTGGAGTTGCAATTTGGCCAGGAGACAGTGCTGTGTTCAGCACTGGTTGTAGGTGAGAGTGCCAGCCCCTCCTCTCTCCGTTTTCCTGTGTCTCTCTTGCCCCACCAAGGGCTTTTAAAAGGATCTCTGGGAAAAGTGTAATGTGGTGGGAGGCTGGTGACGTGGTCACCTCCCCTGCAGGTCAAGACCATTACACGCTATGAATAACTTCAATGTAACCAAAGGCAAAGGGCATAGGAAGAGTCCAGAGAAGACAGAAGATGTTGAAAGTGGGGAGAAATTAGGTGCTTTTCGGTCTTAACACAGGATGTGGAAAATTCTAATTTCTTCTAAAACAGATCTTTCTTAAAATCATCCAGACTGCTTGTTTAGTTCTCTGGTGCCCTACGCTCTCCTGTTGAATGTGTCTTTGGCTGGATGGAAGTCATCAGAGAAACTGATGTTGGGTACAGCTTGTTCCCCAGAGTGTTTCTCTGTGTACTCATCTGCCTCTACTGCAGGGAGCATCCTGGAAGAACCTGGTAGCCCCAGAGTGCTGAGTTTCCCTCAGTGTCCTGAGACCGGACCCTCTGAAGGAAGGAACCATAGGTCAAGGTCAAGTCAGCAGGCACTGGAGCACCCCCAGAAAACAGCAGAAAGACTGCATGTTCTGCATTTACATCAAGCTGTGCATATGCTGAAAACAATTTAGTAATGTTTTTTCCCCTCTTCCTTTTCCCTATCAGTCTTCCAGCTTCACCCTCTTGCCTTTATCTGTCTCCTCATCTTTGATGAGCACTATTCATCTTCCAAGGCCTCCTTTGCTCCCTCTTTTCATGTGCATTCTTTCCACTTTCCTAGTCATCTAGAAAGAGCTCCTGTCTCTTCCACATTCCAGTTCACTCTTCTTCCCTGGTTTCTCCTCTACTAGTTCTTGCCCTTCGTGGGGAGTCTGTGTTAGTACCAGCACGGGTGAATTTAGCCCGGTAGCAGCTATCCATTTGGCTGGGATGTGGAAATGGCTACCTGGAAGGAGCAGAATTGCTACATAATCTGTGCCTTACACCTCCTTGGGCACACAGTGCTCTTGCAAAATTCTAAATTAAAAATTTATAAAATACAGCCACTGGTTACAGGGCAAGCAGGCATCCAGGAGACATGGGAAGTGTTGATGATGTTACTGGTGGCTGCTGAATCCTGCAGACTCCAGGACCCAGAGATTCCTCTTTCTCTGACAATGAGGTCCAGATGGATACCTCTAAAACCCAGGAGGTTGCTCTTGCCCCGTCCAATGCATGTTCTTAGTGGCAGGTTGGCACAGCAGCAAAGCTGAATATGTACTCCAGAGAGGCACATACAGAGAGGACATGGACACGGCCACCCATGCAGATCACTACACACAGAGCAGTGCCTTTACCAGCACTCACAGAAACACCAGCACAGAGACCCCAGTCCTGGTCCTCCTCTCTGGCTGACCCGGATTGAAGTTCACTAGCAGAAGCTGCTACATCCTCAGCCTCTAGATTCACAAGCACACTCATATTCAGTTTTCAATTAACAGCACAGCTTCGAGGTCTGTTTTATAGCCATGTCTGCACCCTCGGCCCCTTACTCAGCCACTGACCCAGACTTTGAGTGTTTCCAGATGCAGGTTTCCTCCTACTCACTGGTTAGACCAGATTTAAATTTGCTAGATAATTATCTATACAAACCCACAAGGATATTGGAATAAATTCACTGGGGAAATTATAAACACACCCAAGTCTTTCCAGTTAGTGGCAGTTAGATCTCTCACACATATTCCCCGTCCCCTTCAGTTACTGGATTTATGGTGGTTGCACTGGGTGAGCACTGGGCCAGCAGCCAAACCCAGCCAGTCGCTCACTCCCCCCACCCAGGGGATAGGGGAGAGAATTGGGGGGCAAGGGTAAGGAGACTCGTAGAGTGAGAGAAGAACAATTTAATCACTGAGATAAAATAAAACTTTAAAGTAATATTGATATTAAAATAATAATTATAATAATAATAGTAGTAAAATATGCCAATGAGTGACACCCAGTGCCATTGCTCACCACGCCTGTTCCCAGTTAACGATCCCGGAGGAGTGACAATCCCAAACCGAAACCGCAATCCTGGGAGAGCCAGAGCCCGAGCGAAAGCCAGAGAGAGCAAGAGAGGAAGAGCCCCTCATGAATCTCCTGCCCATGGGGGACAGGAGATGGAACAGCCCCTTGGCAGAGCCAAATGCCCATGGAGCTGATCCATTGCAATATTCCTCGCCCCCTGAGATCTTGCGCTTGCAGACGGACAAACACAAAGTCCTTCACTGCCAGGGACACAAACGCAACATGGGGATGTTCTCAGCATTTCTCTCCTAGAAAATCCCAGCTGAACCCAACCCCCAGCGCTGTTCCAGCTGCTGAACAGAAACCAGCTCTGGCCCAACTCCACACCAGGACAGGCTTATAAACCTAGTTACTGGAATTTAGACCTTTCAGCACACATTGCAGTCCCTCCAGTTGCTCCCTTCCTCAGTTACTGGCACCCAGACTTCTCTTGCACACTGGTCTGTCTAGTTGCTGGCATCTGTGATCTACGTCCTCTTCTCCAGTTGCTGACACAGAGGAATGAGCCCTGGGACCTGTGGTACCTTCAGTTACTGGCACCTCTCTTGCATTGCCAGTCCCTCCGGCTGCTGACCCCTACAGCTGTTTGCCCTTTAACCTGTGGCATCTTCTACACTTGCTGACACTTAAGACTTGCAGAAGTCACATGTAGAGGTTACACAGAAAAAAATTACTTGATAAAATTATTTAATAAGAAGATTGGATGGATTGTGATGATCCAACACAGGGCTCGGTCAGACAAATGAACTGACCAACAGCCTGCTCAAATGTGACTGAGCATTTGTCCCCCCTCCTCTCCATTTTTCCATGCTTGTTCTTCCCTGATCCACCCTGCTGCTTGCCTTCTCCTGCCTTTGGCCCTTCCCCTAAACAGCCCATAGTGAGTTTTACATTATCCCATAAGCCCCTTCTGATATCTCATAGCAAGTTTCAAACAATCCCTCAAAGCCCCTCAAATATCTCATAATACTCGTGATCATCATAGTTCCCTCCTTTTATCAGCTACAAAATTCACTTTGACCCTTCTCAGGGCTGTGCCAAGTAGCTCCTTTGGTGGCTCATCAGTCAGTGCTGGCTGTTGTTATTGTCACTGTTACCACCTGCTCATTAACGTTTGTGTGTTTAATTAATCACTTTCCTTGTTATTTAGTTTATACTGAACCATAGGAACCATAGGCCATAACCATAGAACTTTAGGAACCAGATGCCCTCATAGTCTACATCCTCTTAGAGACAGACTTGCTTTAGACAGGTGGTATATATAGTCTCGAGCCTGATCAGTCTCTTCTCTCTTCTCAGATGATGAAATGCTGGAGTTTTGCATTGGTCTCCAGACCTTGTTGTCTCTCAAGGTAAGGAACAGCTTCTTGCTTATTGCAAGGCTCCTCTCAACAAGTTTTCCACAGCTTGGTTGCTGTAAGCATCAGAAATACTTATGTATTGGTCTTCCAAGGTGCCACTTGCAATGCTTGTTGCACAGCTGCCTGGCTGGCTGTTGTGTGCTCTGAGTCGCTGATTCCTTTCCAGTCTTTCTTAAAGGTTTTAAGAAAGGAATCACCCAACAGGATGCTATCATATCTCCCATTCTTTGTAGGAGCAGAGGAAATGGCAGGAAGATGTGGCAGGGGAGGGTGAGGTTGGCCATGAGGAAAAGGTTCTTGAGGCAGAGGGTGGTGGAGCACTGGAACAGGCTCCCCAGGGAGGTGCTGATGGCACCAAGCCTGACAAGATTCCAGAAGCATTTGGCCAACATGTGCCCTCAGGGACATGGTCTGAATGTTGGGCTTGTCCTGTGCAGGGACAGGAGTTGGACTGGATGATCTTTGTGGGTCCCTTCCAGCTCACAACATTCTAGGATTTGATGATTCTATTCACAACCATACAAGTGGCAAATAGGAAGAGGAAAGTGAAGAGGAAACAAGAAAAGGCAAGGCACACTGTGTCACGAGTTCTGTGTCCCCTTTGCAGGCAGGTGTGAACAAGCTCTGCCCTTGCTTGGAGCCAAGTGAAGGTGTATGAGCACATTCAGTGTCCAACATTAGCTGGACACAGGTGGAAAGAGGCTTCTCAGGGTTAGTGCTCTGCTGAGCCTGGCTCCTGGGTGGCTCAGAATATGGCTGCAGCAAGGTGGCTGCTGCCTGTCAGATATTGGTAGCCGTGTCAGACTCATAAAGCAGGAGAAGCATTGGGCTGAATGGCTGAGTGACGTGAGGACATCACCTCAGAGACAGTCACAGGAAGAAGGGAGGGGAATGGCCCTGTGAAAGGTTTGGAGAGGAACCCAGTGAATAGGGACTAGGAGCCCTGAGGCAGCATGGGGGACAGGGAGGAGAACTGTAAGGTCTCTACAAACCCCAAGTGGGGTTGTTTGATGGTTATACAGGTTTTCCTCAGTCACAGGCATCATGAGATTTGCTGTCTGAAACGTCCAGTGAGTAACTGGCTCTCCTCTTCTTTAGTGTTGCATCGACTTGGAGGAAGGAGTCCTGAGATGTAAAGCACTGAGTGAAGAGCTGCCTTTCCTACATGCCTCTGAAGAGCCTGGCCAGTGACTGGCTGCGTTCCCCATGTCTGGGGCTGAGGAGAGTTGCTGCCGTGAGAGAGAGAGGAGGGTGAGGCTCACGTGCCCCCAACCTTGCTGAGTTCTAGGCTGAGGCATTTGCTGGGGAGTGAACAAAAGGCAAAGGGGTGCTGGAAGCTGTTGTTGCTGGGAGTGCCTCATCTTGAGACATGTCTCTCCTTTCAGTGGACCCTCTTGCTTGTCCCCATGTGCCAAGTGGGCTTTTTGTTCTTGGTTTTCTATCTGTCCCTAGTCACTCCAACTTGTGCTTCTGTACTAAATTCACCCTACACTTCTAATGACTTATTTTTACAACACCCTCTGTTCATGAGACAAGAGAGTCCCTGTGAACAATCCAAAGATTGCCATGATTCCCTTCTCTGTGCCTTGATGTGCACAGACTCCGCTCCCCTGTCTTTGTGGAAGGGGCTCTGTGGCCAGTTTCCTCACCTGTACTCTGGGAAGCTGGATTTCGTCACTTTTTGCTGACTCAGAGCAGAACAGAAGTATTTTCTTGGAAAAACCTTGTGTCAAGAACAATTCTAGAGTTCTTAATTCTAAGAAACTTTTGCAGAAACGCTGAGTGTAGATGCCTAGAGTATGGTGGACACTCACAGGGGCTGGGGCTTGGCCACTAAACTGTACCGTCGGAATGGCAACGCTTATCATCTCTTGGCGTTACACGTAGTAACCAGACTTGCACACCCTGTTCTTCTGACCAGGCCTCTCCTCTCTGCACTCCAGCTGCTAGAGCTACATTCCTATCACCTCTGCTGCACCATCACAGAACCTGTCACCCACTTTAAATGCTGCAATGAATTACAGCACCCAGAGTCTTCTGCTCTGTCAGCTCCTTTCTTTCAACTTGAAATGTAGTGATTGGACACAGATACACCATCAGCCTCAAGTCCTGGCATCTCACAGCCCATTAACTTTGCTACTCCTGCATGAAACAAGAACTAGACTTCCTTGCAGTATCAGCTCAGAGAACTGTGAACTCATCTGAGATGACCAGGGTGATTATTGACTTAATTGTTGGGTTCTTTTATTTCTTTATTTATTTAATTTCCATCCTAGGGCACAGCTATAGGATAAATACATAGTCTATTCTTTACTAGCTCTAGCAAAGATTCACCAGATCAGGGCTTGTTCCCATGCCTCCTGACTACTGATTCACTATCCAAACTCTGCACAATGTCCCTTTGTCCACCCTTAGAAGGTCGTGACATCCCCATTTTTTCTCTCTTCCTGGATTAAACACTGCTGGATCTCTTCCTTTCTTAGCAAAGTGCTTGTAGTTTCTGTTGTGCTTCTCAAAGAACTTGTGTGTCCATTTTTGCTTTTTTCTCTTAGGTCTTTCCTAAATCAGAGGCTGTAGGCTGCAGTTTAGCAGATGTTAAGGACAGCAGGGTACAGCCTGGCTGCTATGATTTGGGATGCACTTACCAGTGCTTGCTGGTGTGACTGGCATCTACTCCTATAAGCAGCATCAGGCCGGTGACTTTTATTCTTCTTAGTCATTGTGTCTTGCAGCTTCTGATCTGTCCCATGGCTTCTCTGCCGTTCTTCTACTTGTGCACCTGATTATTTCTGGCTGCATGAACTGCTTTCCATGAATCTCCTGAATGACACCCACAGTTCTCTCATTTATGTTAGGAACTTTATCTACTTGATGAGCCTGTCTTCCAAAGTACCAGTAATTCCTCCTGGATTTGTATCAACTGCGTATCTGACTGGCTTCTCAAACCCAAGGGTCTTTAATGTTAGTGCAGACTTGTACTAAATCATCCTGGAGAACAAGTCCTACAAGGAGTGGCTGAGGGAACTGGGGTTGTTGAGCCTGGAGAAAAGGAGGCTGAGGGGAGACCTTGTGGCTCTGTCCAACTCCCTGCAAGGAGGGTGGAGAGAGGTGGGGGTGGGTCTGTTCAACCAAGGACCAAGTGACAGGACAAGAGGAAATGGCCTCAAGTTGCATCAGGGGAGGTTTAGATTAGATCTGAGGAAGAATTTCTTCACTGAAAGGGCAGCGAAGCATTGGAACAGGCTGCCCAGGGAGGTGGTGGAGTCACCTGCCCTGGTGGGATTTAACAGACGGGCAGAAAACGTGCTCAGGGACATGGGTTAGAGGTGGAATTGGCATTGTTGGGTTCATGGTTGGACTTGGTGATCTTAAAGATCTTTTCCAACCACTATGATCCTATGTGATTCTGTGATCCTATGTGTCAACTCGAATCTATGTGGTACCTGAGTCAACTTTGCAGAAAAAATATTATTTGCAACAGGTGAAACACCTGTTCCTACGTGCAGCAGCTCCCCTAGTTTCCAATTCTCATTGCCCTCTAAATATGGCATGTGGAATAATGGCAAACTGCTAAAATGGACAGACTACTAAAACTAAGCCTAACACATAAATCTTAATGCTACCCCAACCCTAATCCTAAACATTAGCCCCTAACCATAAATGCTAACGATAAACATAACCCCCTAAATCTAACTCCCCAATCCTAACCACCTAACCCTAACCCCAAAACCTAACCCTAATCCCCAATCCTAACCCTAAACTCTAATCACTAACACCTCTATTCCTAAATGCATTGCTAACAAATAAACTTGACCCTAACTCTAAACATTAAGATGAACTCTAACACCTAACCCTGACATTAACCATAAACCTAACCACATAATTCTAACCCCCAAACTCTAACCTTGTAACCATAACCCTAATCCCCAATCTTGCACCTAATAACTCCAACTCCTACTCCTAAATCATAATTCTAACCCTAACCCTAAAACAAACCTCCAACGTGACCCCTAACTCTAACCCCTAACCAGAACCGTAACCCTCAACCCTAACCCTAACCCTAACCCTAACCTTAAAACTTAATCAACTAACCCTAATCCTAGATGCCTAATCCTGAGCCAACTCCCACTAGAATAATCCTATCTCAAATCCTTAAACCTAAACCTATCCGTATGCCTAAACCTGATTGTATCCCTCACCCCTAACCCAACTCTTAATGTAACCAGTAACCCTAACATGAACCCCTAACACAAAACCTAACCACAAAACCTAACACTAAACCTTCATGCTAACCCTACCCCTGACCATGAACTAACCCCTAACCCTGAACCTGACTAAATCTAACCACCTAATGCTAACCCACATATTCTAACCCACTACACCTAATTCCAAAACCTAACCCTAAAACTAAGTCCTAATACTAAACCCTAACCATACAGCTAACCCTAACACTAACCCTAACACTAACCCTAACCCTACCTCCAACTCTAACCCCTAACCCTATCCCTACCCTCTAACTGTAACCCCCTAACACTAACCTTAACTGTAACCCTAATCTCTAATCCTAACCCTAAACCCTAAATTGCTAAACCTAACTACAAAATGTGAACCTAAACGTAATCCTAAAACTAACACGAACACCTAAATCTGACACTAAACTCTAACCCTATTTCTAACTCCTGACCGTAACCCTAAAATCTAATCTCTAAGCATATCTCTAACCCTAATACCAACAGTAACCCCAACTCTAACCCTAACCCCAACCCTAACCCTAATCCCAAGAGAAAACCTAACCCTAACGCTAACCCTAACCCCAACTGTAAACCCTAACCCTAACCCCATCTGTAACCCCAACCCCAACCCTAACCCTAACCCCAACTGTAACCCCAACTGTAACCTCAACCCTAAACCCAACCCCAACCCTAACCCTAACCCCAACTGTAACCCTAACTGTAACCCCAACCCTAACCCAACGCCAAGCCTAACTGTAACCCCAACCCTAACCCCAACTGTAACCCCAACCCTAACCCCAACCACACCTGATGGCTTTTGCCAGTGCCCACGAGGGGCCCTGGGCTTTTGCCAGGCTTTGCTGATGTCCAGGCAGGTCTCTGCTGCCTTCCAGAGTGCCCGATGGCTTCTGCCGGGCTTTGCTGGTGCCCACAAGTGGCTACCAAGGGCAGATAAGGGCCACTAACAGCTTTCAGTCCTGTGTGGGAGCCGTAGGAGGTGGGTGTGCACTTTGGAGCTGAGCTCTGGTGAGGGGGTAGGTGAGGGTTAGGTGGTAGAGCAAGAGCAGAGCCCCAGCATCAGTGGGGCTGTGAAGGGGCTGCCAAGGGGAGGGGATGGCCACCAAAGGCTTTCAGTCCTAGCCACTTCTGTGTCAGAGTCATCCCTGGTTGCACTTGATGATCTTAAAGGTCTTTTCCAGCCACTACGATTCTGTGATTCTGTGGTGGGTTTCTGTTTTGGAGCTGGGCTCTGGCCAGGCTGAGGGTGTAGGTGAGTAGAAGTCTTCCTGAACTCAGACTGAAGCCAACAGGAATGTTTCCAACGATTTAAAGGGTGTTGTATCCAGTGTAAATTAAAGGATGGGATCCTACAGAAAATTGGGATGACCTGGCGTTGTCAAAATAGTTGTCAAAATAGACGAATCTATTTTGACACAGCCCTGTGGACACTTGTACACAGGCTGCTGTTGGAATTAATCAGGTGCTGCTCCTACATGTCAGTCTTGGGATAACTCTGCTTTTGCTCACCTTCAAAACATCCTCCAGTCCTTCTAAAGCCTTTCTGTGACTCACAGACCTCATTTCTCAAACTAATAGCTCAGGTTCCTCTGTGAATTACTGTGCTACAGGAGGTGACCACCACCAGCCCCATCTGTCCCTCTGTTCTCTCCATAAGGAACACTTTGCATCCTCCGTACCTTCCCCCAAGGGAATCATTCTTTCTTCCACATTGGTTAAGTAACAAGTTTCCTTCTTCCAAAAGGAATTCTTTCCTTTTTAGATAATCCTTTTAACACTTTCCTGGACCCTGGTTGCTAATATTCTCTCACGGTGTGCCACTACCTACCAGCCTTTCCTCTTTGTTGGTAACAACTGCATGTGCAAATGTAGATTCTATCACTTGTTGGTCACAGAGAGGGCGTTTCCAAGCAAGCACTACATGAGCATGTGAGATGTTTT